TTTGGGGGACAAAACTATTGAGCAGCACATTGAAAGTGAAGGGAAGCCTCTCCGTTGGCTGATTGAGAAATGTGGAAACAGGTATCACGTCCTCAACAACACAAGTGCAGCTGATGATCAGGTAACAGAGCTGCTGGAGAAGATGGAGGAGATGGTGGCAGAAAACAGCACTTTTTACCTCAGTGCCTACCCTGACACAGATTATCCACAACTCCAGCAAGACATAGGTGACAAAGCCAAGGAGATAACAGAACATCTTACCAGTGAAAGGGATGGCAGGAGCTGGGAGAACACCACCTTACAGTAAGTACACCCCAGTGGTCCCACTACAGTCCTCCCTCCTTTAAAACAGTTTACTCCATCTGTTGGCCTAAGAATGAGTAGACGTACACTACAGAACAGAATGAGATATAGACCAACTACATTTATTGAATAGAATATTTTCAAAAGAATCTTAAGTGAATGTTAATGAACTGTAGAAAATATAAAATGTAGAAAGTAAATAAAACATAACACTGAGCTTTGGCTCCGCTGCCTGGTAGTTAATTAGTCCACTCCTCACAATATAATACAATTAGCTATGGCTATACAATGTAAACGTAAGCCTATGGGCTGTGGCTGCAGCTTTATGTCTCAAAATAGCTGCATCAGGCCCATTGAAACTGGCTCCCCCACATTTCCTTTTATCTATTTTCAGATATGATACAGAAATGGTCCCCTGTAATGTTCACATTCATGGTTTATCAAGTTCAAGTCAGCATTTTAGTCCGTTTTATCCGTTGTATAACTAACGCAATTATTGAATTTTCAAAAAACAAATGCACCGACATGAAGATGACCAGTTTAAGAGATATTTTAGTCTTGAAGTAGAGAGTGAAGATGAAGCAGGATCTGATCCTCTGAACAAATTGAGGAGACTGCTGGAGAGAGAGTGGAGCAGGCGAGAGGTGGCTATGGAACAGGCTTTTGGGAAACATTTCTACAATCCTTTCATTGCAGGTGAATAAATCAAATGCGTGTAAGTAACTTCTGTCTTGTTCAGGTTTATATTGCTTTAATATTCTTTTGTATTATTTTTTTCCACTGAAGGGACCTCCGAGCCAGGTTATCATCAGCTGCTATCAGTTGTTGCTTCATGTCCTGCACATTGAGCCTTCTGTAGAGAAACAAGTTTCACTTTTTCCCAGAACGATTTTGTGACAACAGCAAAAATGACTTTGATAAACCTTGATGTAATCACAGCCTGGGAACCAAATGAATCTGTGAGCTCGTGTTTTATTTTCTCTGGCAGGTGCGTCTGGTCCTGCTCCCATTCAGACAGATTTTCACCAGTCCTTATCTAATATGGGGCTGGCTTGATATGACAACTGTACAGAGGAGCACGACCTTACTGGCTGTTGAAGCACTTTGAACAGCTAAGATGGCACAGGCTCAGTCAATGTAAACTCATAGGGCTCATTGGAACAAAGCAAGATCATTCAAAATTTACAAGGAATCCTATTTGTGTGAGATGAAACTAGTCTCATACAACACATCATGGACACGTGTGGTGGTGTGATCCATCTGTTGTTGGTTTTTTGAAAGACATCTTTAAGACACTCTCAGAAATACAGATTGAACCAGACCCGTTCATTGAATTAATGTGCGGTTTCCTCACCCACGTTACAACTGACCAAAATGAATGCAATTTGCCTTGCCTTTGTTAATTGTTAATTAATTTTACTTGGATGAAAATCTTCTGCACCCTCTTCTTGTGCTCTTTGGATTAAAGCTGTTTTAAGTTGCCTAAAGTTGGAAAAGATTAAACACACACTTAAAGGGTGTAAAACTAATTCTGTGCAATGTGCCCCCCACTTTCCCTATGTTAAATGACTACTTTTCCATTTCATTTGTTGACCTGTTGAACAGTTGTATCTATATCATTTTTCTTAAGTTTTTGTATACTCCTACTAAATAACTAGTGCAGTTATTTAGTAAATTGTGGTTAAATGCAATGAACAAAGTTTATTAAAAAAATAAACAAAAACACAACCAAGATGGCTGCCGCTGATGTAGAACTGTCTCTGTTTAACCTGTTATGTCAGTATTAAACTAACGTTATATTTTTTGTTATATTTTCTCTAAAAGAACAAACAAATGTACTTAAAGCCATTCCTTTTGTTGCTACGAATGGTTGTCAGTCTATCCAACAGTGCCAACAGATAACACCCTTTGGATTAAAAAAATTCTAAACTAATTTGCATTTGCAAATTAGGAAACCCAGGATTTTTAGTATGTATGTTAACTTTATTCATCCCCAGGGAAATTATTGTGCAGCATTTGTAGTACAACAGTGGAAAGAGTGTAAATATAAAGAGTGCAAATATTTTTTGTGGTGATGGCATGCCTTTGTGCACATTTTAATATATACTGCAATAATGCTTTATCCAGTCCTTACTAAAGCTACAGCACTAATGCCATAACTAAATAATCAAGTCCGGGTGCCCGATTAGCTCAGTGGGTAGAGCTGGCTACCCGTGTACCAAGGCTGAGTCCTTGCTGCAGCGGCCCAGGGTTTGAATCCGACCTACGGCCCTTTTCTGCGTGTCATCCCCTGTCTGTCTCCAGCTGAAATCTTGTTATTATGGTAATACATTTTAAGGTTCAGGCTTTTTTTCCAATTACTTTACTAAAAGAAACCAAACCAATTGGAAGGTTCTGTAGTTCAGATACTTTGGTCCAGATCAAGGAAAAGAAGTTTATGTTTTTCTTGTCCAGTTCTTGTTCACACTACTTTTTACAAACGAACCAACAGCTGTAATCATGAAGTCATATGGACTGTCTGGCTAATTGGAAATTTTTCTTGCCTGTCATCATGCATAAGACTACACAGACCCACATGGGGAAATCAAATTCTGGAGAATGACAGCAGCACTCTAATGTGTTAATTTACGTTCTCTGGTGTCTCCCGAAGAAATAAAGTATTATGAGCGTTATTAGTCAAGACTACAACTCAACCTCATTTTATAAGTAATGATAAGGGCCACGAAGAAACAGGATGAAAAAGGTTCTTTGCCATTAAATTACAGGGGTATAGTTTCTTAATTTCACTTACTAAGGTGAAGTGCCAGAATAGACGGAGTAGGACATAAACACAACACACCTTGCTGATCAATCAGGGAAAATCTCCACACTCCCATGGTGACGAACATGCAGGTTACCAAATGATTTGCATAAATGTATACATCCCTTATAGGATACAGATGATACGCTTCTTTGGCAGTTCACAGCCAGAATTAATGGTATTTTTGAATTCCTGCTAAAATAACATGTACCATCATAAAATCACGTGGGCTGTCTGTTTTTGCACAGTCCAACATTTACACCAGCCCAAACAAAACGGATCCACCACATGTTTAGGTGTGACGGCATTCTAAATGTCCTAAAAAATGTGCCTCAAACCAGCGACACACACGGCAAAATGGCTGCATGTGACATTTGTATTCCTTCTTCCACCATGCATTAACAACCTAGAGCTCAGCTATAAAGATGTCCATACGCTCCCATATAACCACTTTGATGAATGAAAACGGTTAAGAGGATATGTGAAAACTAGAAGATCAAACGATTCTGTAGGCTGGGTATTGTGTATTATCCACCTCAAAGATAGAGTGCTTTTAAGAGGAATTGCCAGGTAATATAATGCATATGAAAGAGAAACACAATAAAGCTTATAAACATCACAGACAGGAAACAAGGGAGAAGGGTTACAGAAATGAAATGAAGTAGATAGAAGGGTCAGAGATACAGAAATATGAAGAGGAGCAAGTGTTGGGAATGTGTACTTGAATCCTAATGAGACCCCTGAGCCCATCAGCAGGAACATCAGAGGGGATTAGGAAGGCCAGGGATTACCGTCACACTGGCAAGATGGGACCTCTCTGTTATATGTATTATATATGTCAGGATGAACGTAAATCCAGAGTTAAACCCACTACCTCTGTATTCACAGGGAGACAGGCAATAGATATATATAAACAAACAGCGAGATCAGTTACTATTGTGATATGCACTGTGAATTCACCATATATAAATGCATCCAGATACATTAATGTTTTATGCACACACTTAAGACAGACAGCAAGAAGAGGTGGGGAGATAATGAATTAAGGAGGCAAAGGTATAAAATAAGACAAAGAATTGGTCACAGGTGATGATTTCTACATATATGAGATCTGTTCCTTCTGTGTTCAGTATGAAGCATCTGATAATCAGTCAGGTGCATTCCTCCTTTTACATTCATTCACATTGTCTGTTATGTTGTTTTGTTCTTTTGTGTTGTTACGTACACAAGTCTGCATGTGTGCTCACTCTGAGTCATGATCATAAGACAACTGACCCCCAGTGCTCAGAGTGGAAGAAAGTTAAATGTTGTTTTCACATTCACTAACAAGGTATCAGCAAATTCTTGTGAAGAAACTACAGCAGGAGATTTTGCTATACACAACTCTGATTAATTTAAAGTCTTATGCTTGTCATATGTCCAGCTGCCCCTAGGCACAAAGGTCTTCAGAATTTTAATCATCATTTAGTTGACACCTGTGTAGAGTTTCAAAGTGGAAGAAGGTAATTCAGGTGCCGCCGGTTCCTAAAGTAAAAGTGTCATTATTTTTCCCACAGACAATATTACGTGACTTAGAGTTGGAGCACTTCAAGGCTTCTATCAGCATGAAACTCGCCTAAATGAATTTACTTCTGGATTCTGCGTCAAACACGTTATGGGAACAATCCCCCTCCCTCTTAAAATTAACAACACTCTCACTTTCATATTCATTGTGCAGACACATTCCTGTGCATCATCCACACATGCGAATATGCAACACACCCCTGTACCCCCCCCCTTTTAGCAATTTCGTTTACCTGTGAACAATGACAATAAAGATTTGATTCTGATTCTGATTCTCATCCAAGAGTGACTGTACATGATGAGAGATGAGAGAGTGTGCACACATAGATTTGCTCTATAGTATGAACTGCGGCAACGCAACTGTGTGAGAAAATTAAGTTCCAAAGCACACTCCTGAGAACCATAAAAGCCTTTAATATTGAATGGCACCTACACATTTCAGGTCCCTGACTCCAGAGAGTGAGATTACATTCTCCTAGAAACACTATTGTTCTCTCTTTCTGATGCATCTGAGAGTTGAAAATGTTTCCAGTTGACACTTCATGATGGTACAAACACAAACATAAAGAAAAACATAAAATAACATAAAGAATCAATAGAGAGAGGTGAAGTTCTGTCTTTTAAATTACAGTTTCCTAATG